CAAAAATGAGGATTCTCGCCCTTATTTATGAGGGCGAGTTACCTGTATTGCACGCGCGAGGCGAGTGCGTTCGTCTAACCGTCCTCTGCTTGTCCGTACGATCGCGCGCCTCCACTATCCATGATGTCAGAGAACGCGTCGCCTTTGTCAGAGAATGTCAGAGTCGGTTACGGCTGTTGACCACTCACAATGCGCCGCGTGTCCTTCTCCTCATGTGCTGGAGATTCCTCCATGTGCTCTGATGCTCTACCAGTTATGTGCGTCTATGTCTCCTCGATCGCCCTTTCTCGACCATGTGCTCAACTGGCTTGAATCTGTCGACCACCTCTGCTCTCCTTTACTGTCGTCATCTGCTCGATGTTCTAATGGCCGGTGTCTGGTCCTGTTTGATTATACCATTGGACCTTATCCTTACTAGACCGTCCAACAAATCGGTCGGTCTCCTTTGATTAGCCCTATAAACCGGTCCAGTATATAATATCCCATATCAAAATATAACTTTTATTTTTTTCAGTTTTTTTGTTTTCCCCAACCTTCAATTCACAAAGTGTTTGAAGAAAAACAGAGATAGGCATACTAAATAATTCCCCATCCAACTCCATTACAAGGACAAGGGCAAAGTTCTGCAAACTTCTCAGCATCGCTCGAGTGAACTCTTCGAGATATCAAATCGTCATACATATCTGCAATTATAAAGAAAATGTAACTTCGTTTAAATTTGGCTGTATTCCACTTCATTCACTTAGTGTGACATAATGGATGAGTATTTACTGTAAACTGAAAACAAACTATTCATAACACCTGCCACAAAAAGGAAGAAAAAAATATGCGTAAGGAACGAGAAAATTTTATAATGTAAGGGGGATTGAATGATGGAAAAGAAAAATGTATGAGAAAGGTAGAGCCATACCAATAAAGAGAATAATGTAGCGAAGAATACAAACTGCAGTCAGTTCTTGCAGCAGCCAAATAACACCGATAAAAACGATGAATCCTGACAGCACACAAAACATGAAGTGATTATTATAATGGATTTGCAAAAGTAATTTTTTTCTCCAATAAAATAACTTACCAATGCAAAGCCCACAAGTGTCCACTGCGCAAAAATCAAACAAAACAACGTAATAATAAGTAAAAATCTCCAAAAATAGAGATATTAAAAGAAAGGAACTTATCATAGTTACATATGGAAGCCTCCTTCAAAAGATTCTTACATTTTTTGCTATGAAGAGGATAATAAGAAGGGAAAGAATAAGACAACCGGCAGCAATCCTTGCGGTGAGTAGATTTGTTGATGCAAGTATGAGAGTCATTCCCCAAAATGATGAACCGAGATCTACGACCACAAAGAGATCATAATAAAAAACTAAATGATGAAATTATATGTAGTTTTTTAGATAGTGTTTCTCACACAAAGGAAAGAAAAAAATAGCTGCAAATGAATGAAGAAAAAAAAAAAGAGCAATAAAATTGCAAGAAAAATAAGTATATAAAAGGAACCTTTATGGTATTATAGAGTCTTACATCCAGCTGCAAGATCAACCAATAGATGCCGCCACGTGTCTGAGTGACCCCACCTTCATTTGCATGAACTTGAATGCCCTCTACCAGCATGTAAAATGCACATGAGATATCTGTGAGTGTAAAACAAATATGTAGAGAAAAATGTTGAAAACGATCGCCGAAATTATAAAATTTGTTTTGATTTCAAATACAATGACAAACTTGAGTCTATATGTAAAGCTTTGGTTACTGCAAAAAAAAAAATAATAATAATAATAAAGAAAAATGGAAACAGTATAGCATATTGCTTAATTGCGAACAAATCTGCATTAATCCAAATCAATCAAGATATTTTCTCATTGTTCTTGCTAAAATTTGTGAGATTCAAGTAAAAGTTATTGGCTATAAAACACTGATTCTTTATCATTAGGAAAGATTTTGGAGATAGTGACAATAAGATGTAAGGTTTTTCCAGATACTAAACAACTAATTTATCATCTTTATATCGTGTCGTACATTTATATGTATCGAAACTCAGTTCTTTAGGAACCAGAAAAGAATATAGAAGTCCTAATTTTCAGGGATTGTATTTATAATAGATTTGTTTTTCACTCTCATCTTCTACAATCATTTCAATTGACTCATAAATATGCAAATCAAATTTCAACAATCCTAATAATTTAACTGCAAAATATGTGCCCTGAAGGAAATTATCAAGAGGAAAATGGTTGCATACATCACGAGTATAGTTGAAAAATGCAACTAACAAAAGAAAACTTCAAGTCCACCAATGAGATAAATATCAGCAAAAATCTTTATCTACCTCTTCACATGTAAGCTTACAAGCAATTGCATGGCTTGCCTCATGAAGAAATACTTTGAAGGGAGTCAATAAAAACGTCCTCCATAGCTGTCATTACAAACACAGAGCAAATGAGAAAATAATACAAAAGAGAGAGAGAGAGAGAGAGAGAGAGAGAGAGAGAGAGAGAGAGAGAGAAAGATCAATGCATAAATCTCATTCGAATAATGTAGGAAAACGGGAAAATCAAAACTACGCAAAGCCAATATGTTTTGATAAGTTGATTACATTCTGCTAAAGCTTTATTCAACTGAAAACCAAAAACAATTGTGCAATCATGTGTTTTTCTTGAAAATTGGGAGATAGCTTTCGAAGCATTTGCTTAAATAAAAATTTTAACCAGCTGAAAAAGATATATAAACTCAAGACAACTTGATTAGTAACTTGAGACTGGCTTGATTTTTCTTAGACACTCATTCAAGAGAAGCTAACATTTAAATAAGTCAACTGCAAGCCAAGATTAAGTATGTTAGTGTGTTCTTAATGCAATTACATTCTTACATTATAATCAATGATAAGCTCGATTGGAAGTTTGGAACACAATTAGTGAATCATTTAGATCAATTCTTTGAAGGGCAATTGCTGATATTTCCAAAAGGGGGTGAAGTATAACTATCACTTCTTCTCTTTCTAAACATTCTAAGCTATTATTATCCATACATCACCTTCTTCACTAATATTGACTTGAGCGTCCGAAGTTTTACGGCTGGAAACCTCTCGACGCTGTTTTATAGATAATCGTAACAATTCAAGGACAATTCAGAAGACATTGGGCCGGATTGTGGTTGTTTTACACTTATATAAGAGAACTTAATTGATTAGTAACTTGGGACTGACTTGATTTATTTTAGCAAGACATTTAAGAGAAGCTAACATTTAAATGAGTCAATTGCAAGCCAAGAGTCAGTATATTAGTGTATTCTTAATGCATTTACTTTTTTACATTTTAATAATAGATAAGCTCGATTGGTACACAATTAGTTAATTATTTAGAGTAATTCTTAGAAGGCCAAATGCTGATATTCACAAAACTCTTCCAAAAGTGATCTCGATATAGTTATATTACTCGATCTAGTTTCATTCTCTAATTAATGCACCATGAGAATTATTTTCATTGACAAAAAGTAAAAAATTACGCTAACATACATTTGACATAATTGAACACATACTCATGAAGTTACATGGATAATTTATCCCAATATCTATGTCCTCCCGTTAGATGCATCAATAAAGCATGAGAGATTGTTTTATAGGATGGCCTAACTTCACCATCTTAATGCATCGTCATAAGGACACGCTGATCCATAGAGTTATTAATTCCTGCACTAGATTTTGATTTGCAGACAATCTATTCACGGAAAATTTCCCAAATGGTACCCTAACTTGGCCTATTTACACAAAAGATGTTTTATATTGGAATATCAATGTCCATCATAGTAGCATTAAACTTACACAAAGACCAAACAATAATAGGTTAGTATAACACATCATTAGTATATCAAATTGATGGACCATTTATAATTTTTCTTCGGAAAATACTGTTAAAAAAACACGAAAAGAAAAACATAACAATTATAAGTGAATGAAATTGAAGGATGATTTAAACTGATACTGAATTCGCTCGATAACTGACATTGGTAATCAGTATGCAGTTACCATATCAATAAACTTCTCCCAGGTAGAAGTTAATCAAACAAGTTAGTTTAGTGCTTACACGTGGGCTTCTTTATTCCTTATCTGATCCTATGGGCCACCTGGACAGGAAGGAATAATGCGAAGCATAGGGATATTATTTTTTCTTGTGCGCACATTATTTTGCAGGTTGACAGACACCTCTCTCTCCTCACCGCCCTTGGTAGACTCACGACGAGAGCCTGGACAGGGTGTACACCGCCCCATCGTTTGAGGCCACCACCTCCTTTACCTGTCCAGCATCCACGACCCAAGACCGTTGTTTGGCTGAAACCCAAGGCCCCTTGGGTTAAGCTAAACACTTATGGGGTTTTTGACAGACATACCGGAGCTGCTGAAGGAGGAGGCCTGATTAGGGATCATGGTGGGGCACTCATCTCTGTCTTCCATGGGCCACTCCGGGCCTCCTCGAGTTATTCTGCAGAGATTCAGGTGCTCCAGATTGGTCTTGAGATTGCCGCCTCGATCTCCTCTCATGTATGGATAGAGATGGATGCTGCGGCTGTCATTACACTTTTGACATCTGGCCACCAGGGCTCATGGCAGATCCAGCATCCTCTTATGCGTATCAGAGACACCCTCCGCTCGATCCATTACCAGGTCTCACACATATGCTGGGAGGGGAATCGGCCCGCTGATTTCCTTGCTAGCACGGAGGCATCTTTACCCCAGAGACATACCCTTCTTCCTGAGGACATTTCCCTCCGGCTTCGGACGCTCATTCGGATGGACCAGTTAGAGTACCCATCCTTCAGATTTGGTCGACCGCCACCACCTGCCCCTGACTAGATTTGACATTTTGGACTCCATGCCAGGTCACTCTGACCAGGACGACCTTTTATGAGGATTTGATTTTAGTTCCACATCGGATATTTTTGTGATCCTTGTATTTTTTACATTTTATTTTTTCTGCTTTTCATGTTGCTCTATGTATTTTCGACTTGGATGTAGATCATTGACTTTTTAGCCCTTCTGGGTCACAGGTCGGGGGTGTAGCCTCAATCCCCCATCCCAATTTGGGATGTTTATATAAAAAAAAAGTTAGTTCAGTGCCTCTTCAAGATTTATTTAACAAATAGTCTTCAAAAGATCAGAAACAAACTAAAATAAATCTAACCGCAAAAAATGAAGCAACATCCATCCTAAAAGACTTAAAAGATAGGGTTAATTGCCAATAAAACCTTGACCTTTTCACTTTTGGCAATTTAATCCAAACTTCTAGATAAATGCAAAATAATCTCAGCCTTGTATTACTTTTGCAAAATGGACTTAAAACCCGTCGGACAAGGCTGAGGTCCGGCGGACATTGCTTTGTTAGAAGTGGGTTTTAAGTCCATTTTGCAAAAGTAATACAAGGCTGAGATTATTTTGCATTTATCTAGAAGTTTGGATTAAATTGCCAAAAGTGAAAAGGTCAATGTTTTATTGGCAATTAACCCTAAAAGATACGAACTTCCTAAAATTCAAGAATTCCAAGAATAAGATGGGCAGGAATTGTTAATCGAAAAGGGCTAACCATAACAAATCTACAGCGAAAAGTAGTCAAGTGTAATAGTCAAATGTGAGTAGAAAGAAGAAAAAGAGAAGAACTTACAGCAAAGACACCAATAGTTGCAAGAAACACCACTTGTTCGTGCTGACAACAATTCCTCAATTCCCATTTCGGATCCATTTTCCGAAAAAGAAAGAATTGGTAAAGGAAAACAGTTTGAAGATCTTGATTATTGAAAAAGAAGAGACCGATAAGAGGAGGAGACGGAAGAGAAAATTTGTCGGTTTAAAAATCTTGTGTGTGTGTGTGTGTGTTTGGTCCTCAATGTTTGAATATGTCCATGTTACGCGGTGCTACTGTCCTAACTAGAAAAATGGGAACATGCCGTTGGTAATTGGTTGTTGTTGTACGCCGTTCCCAAACACACCTTTGTCGTTTTACTCCACACCCTTTTCCTAAAATAAAATTGAGAAAATGGTATTACTATTCACCGCCCTCTATTGCTAAATATTGCCCCCTAAAAGCCCTTTATACCTTTTTTTAAAAAAAAAAATCATTTCATTTCTCGATTTTTTTGATTCAAACAAAAAAAAAAAATTACAGAACAAAAAAAGGAGTGGACTAAAATAAAATACACGTATTCTTGAAATATGTTTTTCAATAGAAGACGTAATCTCAGAATACGTTTTAGCTTAAAAAACGTATTCCGATAATAAGGTTAACATTATTATGATTAACTAACATAACTAAATTAATTAATCTTAATTAAAGACAGTAAACCACATTA